GTGAGCAGAATAACTGACCTCAATAAGAGTTGGAGCTGGATAGCAATTTACAGTTGTTAATTTTTATCAAAGTTTTCTTATCAGAAGCCAGCCATCAAATCAGACAAGTATCAGCAGCATACTGCTCCCTCACAACAGACCACTAAGAAGTGGATGATTTCCACCTGGTAAATTCTAGAAAAGTCAGGGCCTTTCCAAACAAATTTTAGTTTTTATATAGAGCAGAGCACTTTGTTCCAGAAATCTTACTCTAGACAGATTTGAGAACATTAGTATAAAAAAAGAAAGAAACAAAAGATTGGGACCTCATCCGTATCACCTAACATTGAACAGCTTTCAGATATTGCCTAAAATGTAAAAGGACTCCCTCTCCTTCTTCCTTCCCCCCTCCTTAAGTACCTTATTCAAGAGAATTTTACATTTTTCTTTTTCAAGTTATTTACTTCAGAAATATATCACCACAATTAAAAATACCATGCAAACTATAAGTAATAAGATAAACTTTATTAAATTCCAAATGCTAGCACAGCTCTACTGAAAATTACATCTGTGAAGCTTCCTGCTTCTTACTGGCATAATTAAAAAAACTATTGTTTCCCAAAATCTGGAAGAATTCTATCTACATCATTTTTGCAGTTCCTGCAATAAAACAGCTGACCTGATCACTATGGATAACATAGAGTTGTGCTGTAGTACTCTGGAAACATTGCTGTCTTTGTTTTAAAAAAAATAAAAATAAAAATTTACACTTCTGTAACTAGTTCTTCATTTGTTACAGTGGTCAACACCTTTCCAAAATATTTTTTTACTCAAGTGATTAAACATTTAATGACCAAATACTTTCTTGCCTACACAAAACAAGGTGCAGAAACACAAATAACAGAATTCAGTCACAGCATACTGAACAGAGTCCACAAAGCCAAGATATAATCTAGTACACATAGAAAGGTCAAATGACAGAACGGAGCAACTGTCACACACCACGAATAATGTAACACAAGTATCATGGAAGGTGAGATGAGGGGAAATATCTCGTTCCACAATTCGCCAACCATTCCCAGTATTCCCTATTCAGTAGAGGGACCTCCTCTTCCCACAGACAGATTTCTTATTCCCGGAGCTGTTTCTAGCATCTTGTCTATTGGGCCTAACGTGACTAGGTTTAAAGAATTAAAAGTACTTGTTAAGAGCATTAAAGGGAGCAGTTATTCTCCTGCTTACAGTATAACCAAATATATTTTATGGCCAAATCCACCAGAGTTGCGTTGCTGTTGGCAGTGAAAAGTAGCAGTAAAGGAGAAAACTATTCAATGATAGGGGGGTCTGTCCAGGACTTGAAAAGTAGGGATTCACAGAGTTATACCACCAGGGATGACAGTGGACAAATCACTTACTCCATGACCCTTGTGATCTTACCTGGTACATGCGAAAAATAAGCATTATGCTACCCTACTGAAACACAAAAACAGTTTGAGAAAGACAGTGGGAATTTTATGCCTACTAAAGACATTTTTCCCTACAAAATCTTTGCTAGTTAAGGCATACAGCATACTCAGAACAGCAGAACAAAATGTATCATTGTTTCTCAGCTAAAAGTACAAGCTTTGCAAGATGGTAGCTCACTGAATCCAAGACACTTTGAGCCACATGCAAAGGTCATTTAAGCTCCAAGTTGTTCTGGTCTCTCTCTCACAAAGACGCTTGCCAGTAACAGTCTAAAGATTGCAGGCCATGAAATTTGATTACAGCATAACCCACATGACTCTTATTTTCTGGCTTTGTGAAGCTACAGATGAAGTGAAATCCTTCCCAGGATGAAGAATTCTGGAACGTGTCACATTGCCTTTGGCTGGCATCAAGTTAAATTGGGCTCTAGAAAAGTGTGTAAACAGATTAGGGAAATTAAGATGGCTCACAATTTACATGTGTGCTGTTCCATAAACATGTTCATTATAAAACCATCCCTCCCAACATTTTACTGAATGATGTATTCCTTCATCCTGACCAGCAATTTTATGCATACCACATTTCTGGCATCTTTCTTCCTGAGATGGACTGACCCTCTGCTGCCTGTGCCTCATCTGAACATCACAGTGAGATATGCCAACCACTGGCTGCCAACATTGCCAGACTTTGTTAGCCAAAAAAACTTTATAAATTAATGAGTGGTTTTCTTGGCTGGAAATAGTTGTATTGATAAATTATAGATTTTAAACTAAGAAACCAATATATACAGTAATCAACAGCATTTAAGAGTATATTCCTGACTTGCAAGATGAAAAGATTTCTAATGGTTAAAAATATATACAAAAGCATCTAAACTGTATTTCAACTAAGCCTCCGAAGTCACAAATAATTCAATCCACCTGTTCACATCTTTTGCATGCATAATAAAGCATACCATGGCAATCCTGAAAAAAACAACTTTCTCCATGGCAGTATGTTACTCTGCACGTTTAAAATCTTGGGGTGGTGGTCTGTCCATTTAAAACTAGCACGGTCTTTCATGGACAGTTCATGGCAAATCTATTTCCCATAGTTCAAATCTAGTACAATAGGAAAACATTTCTCCAAAAGAATATTTCTCCAAAATAGCATTAAAAATATTTTCAAATTTCATTTTGACATAAACTTATGTTCTCAAAGCAAATCATTTACAAAGGAAAGTCCAGCAATGTTTACGACAAACTAAAACAATATCACAGCCTGCTTTACTCAAGGTCTTTTTTTGGCCTGTTTGTATTTTCTTCACTTTTCTTTTATAAAATGAATTTCAAATCTCGTAAGACAGAGCTCATAGAAAGCCTAGATCTCATTAAAACACTTGAAATTACTACACTAATTCTTCTCAGACCTGGCTTTTCCCTATTAAAGCTCTATGAAATATTGTCATCCAGCTGCCTGCTTTGTAAGATCATGAACCAATTGCACAGTGACTGCTGTATGAAGTGAAGAAAGCTTTTATTAAAACTCTGCAATACACAGCTCTTTCAGCATCAGTAGGTGAGTAATCCCTCAGCTGGACCAGCTGAGAGCAAGATTTGCAAGCTGTATGCCCAGTGGTATTTTTTGTTTGTATTACAGCAATACTTAGAAGTACCAAGCGGAATAGGATCTGCTGTTCTAAAATGCTGTATTTTCTTGTGCATGTGAAAGATGCATTTTAAGACCCAGCTGGAATCTGTAGCCATATATCTACTGTAGAAGCAGAGAAAAAAATATATGAAGATTATCATGCATCTTCCAAGTAGCCTACGTAGTTGCCTACATCAAAACCAACTGCAAAATTAATACTGAAACAGAACGACAATAAACCACTAATTAGAAAATTCCTTTCCTCATATGATGTGTTTTACTCAGAATATCAAAACAGACTCAATCTCAATCAGATTCTTCCTCATCTCAATAGTGTAACAGACTAACATCAGTGCATACTTTATAGGACCTATTTTGTTTATTGACTGTCCTCACGGGACTGAAGTGTGCTTCATCAGCACTGAAGCCTACTACCAGAAGTTTAAATGAGAATGCAATGGTCAGATTTATCATGCTGTTTGGTTCATGTTCCTCTTGATTCACAGTTCATAAACGAAGACTGTCAAAGAAGAAAATGAATATTAATTGTACAACAACCCAAGTTAAGAATAGGACACCACTAGGAATGTGGACAATACAGTAAGTTAAATCTGGTAGTACCAAATACATGAAAAACCCAGAGGTTATCTATTTGTACACCTTATGCTTGCATTAATGAGATGGTCTGGTTAACCAAATACCCCTCAGAACAAACTTCCAGTAAATTAATTTGCCAAGATCTGGACCCTCTATTAACAGAGAAGTCCAAAGCATCAAGTTCATCCCTTCCACAGACCTCAAGATGAGGTTTTATTTCAAAATTACAGTGCATAGCAATCCTTTTTTTCCTCATATTTATCTTTTCATGATTGTCACCTCTACTGATGCCAATTCAACAATTAATGTTTCCTATTATTCCTACTGGTACACACATCAGCCATTACACACCAGGCTGAAAACAGAGGGCAGAAAAAGCCAGACCATATACTGACAAACTGAAACATGAAAGGAACTGCAGAGTGCTGTACTAGAATTTCTCATATGAGAGTTGCTTTGTAGCCCAGAGAAAGGTTCATGAACATCCTAAACCACTGCCCATCAATGCATTTCCCATAACCCACCATATTATTTCTCACATTCAGCAAGCCTTAGAAGTTAGAGCCATGTAATTAATCCCATTTAAAGACTAGTCTAGTTAATTAATGAAACTAGACTTCATGGGAACACCTCTGACTAAAGCAGGATTATAGCCTTGAGTTCCCCCACTCCTCTATGTTGAGTCACACAACAGTCCTTCCACTCTTATCCAGTAAGGTTTCTGTTGGGCAAGGACAGGGTTCCAGAAATGAGTCAGGTATCTGTCAGTGAGAGCACTTAAGTAAAAGTGAATTAAAAAACAAATTAAAAATAATAATAATAAAAAAAAAGAAACAGGTTGGTCACTGAAATGAAAAGAACAAGGGCTTCAGGTGCTTGATTTGGAGTTCTTTGAACATGTAATCACTGTCTCAAAATCTGAGCATTTAAAATAGCTTGAAGGTTTGCAAACATAACTCATCAAAAGCCTTGAAAAAACAGGACTCAAGGAAATTCATAGATTTTATATGCTTGGTTCGCAAGAACCACCCATACTTTTTAACTCACTTGTAATCAGTTCAGTATTTCAGCCTTCTTTGGGACGTACTGGTTTTACCTAAATTGAAGTCGTGTCTGAATTCAAGCCATGTGACTTTATTATTTTTTTTTTACATCTTTGTCCTCTTGCTTTGACATCATAACTAACCATTAAGTTCAGTTTTAACAATATGCTGTCGCACAGAAAGTCTATCTAAAGAAATCACATAGTAATGCGTTGTTTAGATGACTTGGTGTGAAAACTTGATGGTATGATGCAACCACGATAACCTAATCATACAGCATTTCCTTTGCATTTTCCAGACAAAAAAAAATAATAATAAAGACCTCTGTAGTGCATTTCACTGAGCTATATCTTGTCACTTATTTGGTCTGATATTAGTTCTGTCTGATGTTTAAGTTGTTTGAAAGTGATTAAGAAGGAAAAGAAATCTTGACAGTTTGTTACCCAGTATTCAAGACAAATGAAATCTCTTTTCACTGAGTACTTTCAGCACTAAGCTTATCAGATCACTACTGGCTGAACGCTTGCGAGACTAAGAGCCTGAGGCTACAAAGCAAAGTGTTTCCTGAAGTAAGTAATGTCAGCCCAAGAGGACAGAAAACAGCATTAACACTTAAAAAGAAAATAAAATGAAACTCAGTTAGTAGCACCAGTGCCAATGATGATGAATTTATGAGATGCCATGAAGCCATCAAGAGTTTGTCATACTATAAAAAAGAACCAGAGACTCCCCAAAGCTAACAATTTATGCCTAGATGGTAAGCAGGTCACAGCAATGTATTCTTGTTCTGCTGGTTTAGACAGAAAAAAAATGTTAAGAATTACATTTAAATTACTGATCCAAATGCATCTATTGTACAAGCAGCACTGCAGCAACTCCATAATGTCTACTGTGAACCCCTCATTTCCTTGTTTGATAACTTAAATAAAAAAAAAAAAAAAGAGAGAGAGAAAAAAAGGATTTGCCTTTAATGACAACAAATAAGGTCATTCTACCCAGGTTTCTTTACCAGAGGCTCGCTAACACCAACTCAAGTTATGGCAGAATATCCTACTGTATTCTATCAGGCATTATGTAATTATATCATTATAAAATATTGCACAGTAAAGGGACAATTGATCTATATTCTTAAAACACCAATTTTGCTGAAGAATACAGAAAAGCTTCAGGGCTGTATTTCTTTTCAGTTCCCTATATTTAAGGTGATGGTTAAACCTCCATTTTTACTCCATTTTGCTTAGTATATCTGTTGGGAGCCAAGCCTTCTCATATGTTGTTGGTTACCATGTACTACAACAAATTCCAAATGTTGCCGTAAGTTTGTAGGAGCAAACGTTAATGCTCCATTGCCAGAATTTACACACTTTGCAAAACAGACCCAGGGTTCCTGACTGCCTCCAAAATAAGACATAGTGATGCATCAGACAAAAGAAAGCATTTTTTTTTTTTAACCACGTTTTCTTATGTTAATTTTTAAAGTAACAACGTCAAAAAAAGAGTGTGCCTCCATTAGCAATTTAGCGTGGATGAGATACACATATTAGAAACAAATCTGGTAGTACCCATCAACATAGTTTGATTTATACTGTAGATGGTCACAGAGTGTACAAACTAGATTCCTTTGGGATGAAAGTAAACCAGAGGATGCACTCTGAGAGCACACTAGTACTATTTTCAGTTCACAGGATCAAACTGTAGAGGGAGGAAGGATGGAAGCAGAGAGGAAGATACCATAAAAAGCATGCGGTGTGGATTTTGGGTCTTAACACCATACACTTCAGTACACTCTATACCTCATCATGCCACTTACTAATCTAGACATCAGAAGAAATCTTATATTTAGATTTTAAAATATTTTAAAGTTAGTCAGCTATATTCTCTACTCAAATAAAAGAAGCAATAGGATTTAACTAAGTTAATATTCTATACAGAAGGTTTCATCTACATGCAAGGACCTTCTTTTCTTCAAGAGTTAAGACATCCATCAAGCACCTGTTAAGAGAGTTCATGTATCTACATGTATTGACTTCAGTCTCTACAAAATTGCATTGTAATTTCACAGGTGTATTCACCTTACCTCAGTTTTCTTCCTACACAGTCACCTACATTATGTCCACAGATGCAGGTCTCTGAGAACTTTCAAATGCCAACTGCTGAAATAAAACATAATTAAAATCAGAGTTGGACTGTCTTCTTTTCTTAATATTTTTGTCATACTGTTCTTATCAGAACTCTCAAGAAGCTATTCCTGCAAAGTGAATTTCAAACCTCAACACCCTCTATCACCCTACTTTTTCCTCTATGCTGCTTTTGGCCACTGGTTGCCACTTCCTCAGCACTTGTTAAGAGACCTTCCTGAATTGATTCACATTGCTAACTAAGTGGAAAACTCTTTTTTCTTTCTGGAGTGGGTGAGGGATAACTAAATTAATAAATGAAGTAAATCAACTCAAGAGGACATAAACAAAGCAAGGACAGAATCTACATAGCCATGAAGGAGATAAAGAGGAAGAAAGTTCTTCTTCCAGACAGAAGTAACTTTCACACTGGGTCACTGGTAACATTCAGTTTGAGTTGCATCAGTATTTTATAGAACCAACACATGAGATATGGTGAACAAGATACCCCTACTCCAAGTCTACATCGCTACAGAAAGGTCCTGATAAATCACAGGTTTCCTTCACTTCACAACACTCAATCCAGCAAAAGGCAGGGACTGGCCTTTCTTCCATTCCAATAAGTCCTCAGCTGAGCTGCAGGCTTTTGGTAGCCCTTCACTGGCCAGCACTGGTTTTGGACATACCATTTAGATGCTACAAGCCTTCTATCATCTGCTTTAATTATTCCTCTCTGACACCACAGGGATCAAAATCTACTTATTTCAATTGATGGATCACTTGACATTACAAAGTACAGGAGCTTAAACATATCATTAACAGTTGGACATTTCTAGAAAACTTTATACACAATGTGCTGAGATAACTGCTGTCAAGACAGCAAAGAAGCATTAGAGCTTTCTCCAATTCCAAATATTTTGTTGTATTTCTCTATATTTTAAATATTGAGAAAACAGAATGCAGAACTAATTATCAGTTCCAATGATTATTTCCAGCAGCTTTTGTATAACAACTCAGTTCACTTGTTAGCACTGGAAATTTGCACTGATATAAGCTGAATTTAAACACGGACAGACACAGTTTCTTCCTACATAGTCCTATTCTCATCTGAACATCTTTCTTCTTGTTTTGGTTTGTGTTATTTTGGATGTATAATTCTCTCCAGTAACATCAGTAACTCCTGTGATGGGGAAGTACTCCTTACACCGTATCACTACAGGAATTGAACAACTTCAGTGTGATTAGTAAGACTTTCCAGTGCACAGAAAGTCTAAGCTTCTCTAGCAAGTTACTCCTCTGGTGCCATTCTGGAGAGGGATTAGTGCAGTAGAACCCTGTATCATCTTCTCAGCACACCCCTCTGACACAACCAGCCCCAAAACTTCCAGATGCAGCAGCCCTGTGGGAAGCTGCAAGGCCAGAGGAAGAGCATGATCTCATTCCATGTGTTCACATTGCCACTCCAGGAAGTCCTTAACTGTCTAGAAGACTCTGTATACCAGGAGCTATCCAGACATCTCCTGAAATGAGAGAACAAAGCATAAAGACAATGCAGAAATAAAACCCAGACCCAAAAAGACAAAGCAGCAAGCTGTGTGTAACAAGTGCAGGGTTCTAGATGAACCTCAAAACAGTTACTTTTGATTGTTTCAAAGACTTACCAACTCAGGATTCATGGTTCAGACACACATTTCACAGTGCCTGCGAAAAAAAATAATGTGTATTTTTGAAGTAGAAACTGTACATTAACATGCCAAAATCCTAAAGAAAATCAGACTAATAAGGGTACATTTTTTTTCCTTCTTAAAACTAAAAGCAAACTGCAAGCACATAAGATTTTTGTGCAGAGGTATCTGAGTATCCAAGTTACTTCTGTGATACTCTAAATTGTGAATTAGAATTCCAGTTTGTAAAGAAGGCTTACTTTGATCCTCTTGTTTGACTTATAGTCTGTGTAGACAGTTTCAGACAGGGAGGATGGAGGAAAGTAAACTCTTGGAACCATGCAGCTTGCAGCAGTGAATTAACTTCAAATGTTAAAGGTACAACCTTCCACAAATAGTTGGGTTTTTGTTACCTTCAGAGCTAAGTGTGCTACCGCAGTCCTAAAAGAGCGGTGAGTAAATATATATTTTAAAAGTTTCCTTGAGAATGAAGCATTGTCGGTAGCAACATCCTGGAACACCACACAGTGCTCAGATGTCCCTGTTTGAAAGGAACACAGGAAAATTGAAAGAGAAGCAGAAAGGAATCACAAACATGATTAAGAAATACCATTGTAAAAGACACCAAAAAGAACATGAGTAATGCTGGATTCTATAACACTTTCTTACCTGGTTGAAAAAGCACAGCAAGAAGCAACAGCTAAAAGGTAAAGCCAGATAGACTTAAAGCAGAAATGTCTCAGAATGCGGGTTGTTAACCTATGGAACAAGCTACATGAGGAAGGAGTGATTCTCCTCTCGCTACTTACAAGGCAAGCCAAATGCCTGTATGAAGGGCACTCTGAAAGACATCTACCTCAGCCAGAACAAGTCAAAGGTAGCGGCTGGCTTAACAATTGGGATTAGTTCAGAAATCCAGAGATCTGTCCCGGGCTCCGCAGAAGTATGAGTGACACCAACTAAATTAGAAGCAGGATCAGTCTGTGGTAAGTTCATTAACTTAGTGAAAAGAGATCTAATGAATAAGTAACTCCGCAAACGCCCATCACAATGATTCCTATTTGCACACTGAAAGGCCCCTCACTCCAGCTGCTTGTCAGGCAGCCGAAACCTGTCATTCACCCCTTTGTACTTCCACCCATTGTTCAAAAACCCTTTTCTTCTAGGGAGAAACCCCTTATTTCGTTCTTGTGGAGAAACCTTTAAAAGCTGCGAGGGAGAAAGGGAGCCTTTAGCTCAAAACAAAGAGGAACTGAGCTTCTGCCAGCAGGAGACTAACAAGCAAATTTATCCCCAGGGTCCGAGCACAATCTCCACAGGCTGTGTCACGCCCTGCGTCAGCTCGCTGTCCTGCCACGCTTCCACAATGCCTCAGGGTGATTGCCCGCCGACCCCCGGGGAGGCCAGCAGCGATCAAGGCAGAGGCAAAGCCGTGTGGCCTCGTGTTCTGTGCTAACAGTCATTATATTGCAAAATAATGCGAGGTCTGTGCCAGATGAAAGCATGACCTGAATGTGTGCAGGACACATAAGCCGAGGGAGCTGGATAGCTGCACTGAGGCAGGTCACTCCGCACTGCGAACAGCCAGCAGCTCGGCCTTTGGGCTTTCCAGGCAGCTCCTCTAGATCGACTGGGAGGAGAGAAGTTAGTTCTCTGCAAAGCAGCTCTACCAAAACCAGCCCGGTAAGGACCAGAAGGCCTCAAGGTGGAAGACTTGCGTGGGAAGGAAGCTGCTCTTACACACGTGCCCACTCCTTCCTATGCTGTATGAAGCAAGAGAAGAGCACAGTGGACGCAAATGCTCTGCACTTGATACAACATGCCAGGGCCTGGTTCAGAGCACAGGGAAAGGTCAGAGTGCCCGTGACTCAGCAGCCATGGCATTCGGGACTCTCTGAGAAACCGTAATCCAGAGTCATTCTGAGCCTTCATCCAGCACTCTTCTGATGACATACACATTTTTTTCTGCCTGCTCCCTTTAATTTTTCAAATTCCTGGACAACCACACTCGTAACTAAAGACAAAGGGCCCAGAATGAGCAATGAAGTCTCTCTCACTGTGTATAAAATGTTGTTCTAGATGCAGCTTGAGTTCTGTGATAATAACACTGTTGGGAAATCATCACCAGTGAGTAATGCTACTGGCTTCAAGGGAAGCATGAATTTTGCAAAAACTCGTGTGAGAACTAATCTCCCATTAACTTCCAAGGGGACTGCAAGCTTTTATACTCAGACCTCAAACAAAGGGAAAAAAAGCCATCAAGAGATGCTATGGTCAAATTCATCAAAGTGAACCGAGCAAGAGCCTCTCCTTTAACTGTACTCTTTGTTTTTACATGCTCTTTTAAGACATGCTTCATAATCCTTCTTTGATTCAAATAATTTCCTTTCTCCCTTTGCAAAGCAGCGAGTAAAATAATAGCCTTTTTTGTGATAAGAACATCCAAAACAGTAGAAAGTATTCTTTTTTATGGAACTGACCCCTTACGAGTAAAAATAAAAAACGATCACTTGTTGTAAGTGATCCTCTGCCAGCAGCCCCCATGCCTGCTACTAATTTCAAACACTTTATGTTCCCCCTCCAGTAAGGCTTTGTACTCTTTCCCACTCATTAGAAGATGGCTACAGTAAATAGCACTTCCAGCATTAATATTAAATACAGAAAGAAATACGCTCAAACCAGGTTATAGCTGTAAGGCAAACTGACAAAAGCCAGGAAATTCATAAGATAAATTCAGTCCTTAGCTCAGGCTGTTGTGAAAACAAACACGTGGGAGTTACTGAGGTGCCCAGGGTCAGTGCAAAGTGCTCATTTCCTGGCTTTTGTCAGCTGGTGTCAAAACATCAGCCTTACCTAAACATCAGATTTGTTGATTTTAAAAATGGCCTTGCAGTCAGAAACAAGGGATGGGTGGATGCACTTGCCCTCCGCTTGCTGCTTGCACCAGCACACCAGTGAGAGGCATGTCTCTCAGCCCAGTCAACCAGGTCAGGCTGGGCAGGAGATGCCACGGGCAGCCTGCATGATGCCAGGCTCCTTCTCTTACCTTTGTCCCAAGAGCATCACATGCATTTTTAAATGGCAGGCAGGTGTATACAATAATTTTCAAAGAACATGCCAAGTGCTTGCTGGAGCGGCCCTGGGACAAGGGGCTTGATATATGCTGGGTTTGGACTTGACACATGACCTCACACTCTCACTTTGATTTGTAGCTAGCAGAGGGAAGAAGGGAAACTTGGCATGCACCATCCTTCACACTTAGGTGCAGACCTTCCTTCAGGAGCACCTCAAACCATGCTCCAAGCAATGAGCACCCATCCAGCCCCAGGGGAATACCAGCAGCTCAAGAAGGGAAATGGCAGATGAGAAAGATGAGCAGCCCGCTAGAATGTTCAATTCATTCTAATAATAGAGTCATTTTGATGGTTTCTGACTTGACAGTCAATACTGTAGTTAGAGTTTTCCAGTAGGGAAAAAAAGAAGAATGTGGGGAGGGAGAGGAGAGTGGAACTTGCCCAGAAATATTTTCACTTGTGGAGGAATAATTTTTCTTGTTCTCATGTGGATGTTTTTGTATAAGACTAATGGGCTCTGATCCTAACCTCTGAATGGAGAAGGTGATGTTTAATGCCTGAGTTGCCCATGAGAGAGGGAGAAAAATACCTAGGCTTAAATTCTTTTCTTTTAAGCAATGCTATGGGAAAATGTTGCAATATCTTTACTAGCATATAATTTAAATGGCTTCAAACCTCTATCATTAAAAATGCACTGTACGTAGTTATAGTTATAATGATGCCTGACAGCTTAACTTAAATTGAAGAGAGGCTGAACTGAGCTGCATGACAGCTGTCAGTGCACCTTTTTGGACCAGCTCACCTAACACACACAAACACCTTTTTCTAAGCCAGTGAAGATCTCACCCAGAATACCCTCAGGGCACAATAAATATTTAATTGTATGACAAATATTTTATCTGCCTCAGGAGGCTGACAGGAATACAGGTGGTCAACTGAGTGCAAGCTGAGAGAAAACAGGTGAGTCAATGCCATACTCAAATGTTAACTTATTCCATGACGCCTAGCCTTTGAAGGAATACATCTTTTATAACCTAGGAGAATAAGGAGGAGGCTGCTTATGGAATTAAAGGTTCCCAGCTTCTAATTAGAAGGAGAGTAATTGCAGCATCATTTATGGAGATCTTAATAATTTATTTTGTTTCTGGACAGGTACATTTGTGCTGTATAATTTTCATTCATACATATACAAATTTATAGTATTTTTCTTTGCATACATATTTCTCTTCACTTTCATCCTTTATTTTAAGGCATATTTTGATGTCTTTCACGCAAGGGAAAATAAATAACGAAGAAACACTGAACTTTGAAACTGAAAAATGGAAAATTTGCATTTTCTTGAATTTATTTTTTTTTCCCTTTTCTTCCACAATTCATTATTTGTTGAAGGAATGAAAATATGCAAACTTCAGCTCACTTCTTTAGCTGATACCCAATTCGTTGGTGATTTTCAGCAAAATTCAATAAATAAATAAAACAACGATTCATTAAGAAAACCACCAAACCACCATAACTGCTTACTTATGGCCTGGAGCTTTTTTTTTTTTTTTTTTTTTTTTCCTTTTCAGTATTTTAGATGGGGGGGGGGGGAAATTCCCCTTTACTTTAGGCTCAGTGTCTAAATTAGAGACAGTATCATCTAGACACATAGCACATCAAAGCTGAGACTTCAATTAATTCCAGAGTTATTTATTTAAATACAAGTTTCTCATTGGCAAACTACTACAGAAGGGCCTCAAGAGGAACATGGAGGCATTGAGGGGAATTCCATTATTCCCATCCTCCAACCTCCTCTCCTGGGCATAGGACCAACATCAAGAAAATAAAACAGTCACCAAATATAGCACAATGGGCCTTTTCCTACTAATTACCTTAAAAATTCCCAACTGAAGAAAGAGACCCCACACAGATTTTTTATGCCGCGTATTAGCACTGGTTCATCTGAGGGACGAACCTCCGAAAATAAAGCTCCATGATGGAGCTGCTGACACACCACAGAGCAGCCCCATATAACGAAATAGTTTTAGACCAGCCGATTGACTCCATCATTTGGAGGAGAGGCGTTTTCTCTTTGAAAGGCTCCCTTTTGTATTGCTCACACTCCTCCTACACACTGCTCCCTGGCAGACTATTTGCTATTCTTAGGAGGCTTCTGCAGCTTCCTACATCAGATGGAATTTACCTTCATGTAATTATTTGTTCTGGGAGCTTTGATCTCTACTTCCCTTGTAACTGCAATGTAGTCACACTTTGAACTACAAGAAAGTACCAATTTAAGGCTCTTGCTGCAAACATCATAATGGTTAATCCTAACAAAAAGGTGTTAATTGGTCTCCTGGTGATTCTAAGCCGCAGTCACAATAGGTTCTTATATTTGTTTACCACTGCTATATTTCCTCCTCATCCCAGTAATAGTGCATTAGACCTGATAACCTTTTAGGCAGGCTTCTCGGTTTTTTGGTTGATGGTACAAACTAAAATTAAAATAAATGTATATCGATATAGGTGGAGCAGTTCTGGCCTGACCCATTGTGATTACCTACTACAAGCTTCACAAGAAGCTGTTTGAGGCTGTGTACTCATGGGTAAGAGGTAAAGATTTAGATGACTCCAAAACTCTTTCTGAAGCACAATAGAGCCTCTGTTCTAGATGAAAGCTGTTTCTTCATATAATGCATTCACTCAAACCTTTGGCCTTGACAGAGATTTCATAGAGCTGGGGAGAAGCATTATTCTGTTTCATTTTTGGATCCATCCCCTGCTCAGCAGTCCAAGAAATTTATACTGAAAAAATGCTTAAGCTCAAACTAATGAAAATTGCTCATCATTTTGGACTGGTCTGTTTGGTTTTCAGGAGCTTGCTTTATTGTTAAATCGGCTGGTTTTATAACATAGCCAGGGTAGAGAACACCTTCCCAGCAGAAAATTAAGCTATGGTCTCTGCTGCTCAAGGCAGGGTCACATATTTTATTCGTCTGTATGGAACATGGTGTGCTTTTAAGCAATCACTGTACAAACACATTTATGGCATTACCCAGTGGAAAATTAAGCTTGTTTGGTTTTTGTCTTACACAACTATGGTCCTTATTTTTAATATAACCACTAAATTCTGGTCAAATATACTATATCCATCTCTCAAAAATAAAATAAAGCAGAAGTGACATGAAATAGAAGTGAGTAGTTGAGGAAAGGCACTGAAACTAACTTTGTCAGGCCCTGGGGCTATTTCTCAGAGCAATGACAAAAGGACCAGACAGAGCTGCAATTTTGTTGCTCAGCTTATATATTCCTGGAGTGCAGAGGATCCGGCTGTTCAACAAAACATTACTCACAAGATAAACATGAAAATGGCGCAGAACACCAGAATCCCACCACACTCTTCTGACCTCCTAGGGACATTCAGCATTCTCAATGAGTGCCAAACTGTGAGCTTTCCCTCCCTCTTTCTCTCTCAGGCAATTAAAACATTTTTGTTTGCTTCTGCTAGGCCAGCCCTTCCCACTGACCAGTTCTCCTGAGGGGAGGTTTCCGGTTGTCCTTTCCTGTGATGAGAGCACTTCAGAGTCATACACTTCAAAAAATCTGACTGAAGATGCCAGGAGAGCCCCTGATGACTGAGGACAACTCTTGAACCCCAACTGAACTCCTGATTTCTCAGGACAGGCTGAATCTTTATTCCCTGAATTATCTCTGTAGATGGACCATACTACGCAATGTCTCCCCAGCGCACTCAAAATGCCTTTAAGCCCACTAAGAGCTGACAAAATTCCATCGTCGTGATCGCTTCAACATGGCACATAAGCGTGAAGGATATCAGTTATGGCAGAGGAAGCGAAGTCCAGGCTGGAGCCAAAGAAGCTTAGTGGGTGTACAGGCTCCAGGCTGAGAGAAGTACAACGTTTCTTCTTCCTCAGCTGCGAGCAGGGAGTTCACTCCCCCATTGCTCTATGTATCCAGCCCGGGAGCATTTACTGATGCTTGTCCACCAGCAGAGGCTTTAGCCTGTTGCTGCACACATGCACACACACTCAATAGCAAGCTCCTATCCCAGGATTATAGCAAGATGGCAGCCCTGAAACAAAAACACTGCTATAAGGGGAAGCGCTTGAAAAACATTTGTTTTATTTTTCCACTTTTGTTTTGCATGACTTCCTACAATCTCCTGAATATAATCCAGACCTTCAGCAGCTGCAAACCATGATATCAGGCGTTGATAAATTTATTTTGTAAAATATCCACAGCACTCTCATTTTATCACAATGCCGCCTGTGAGGAGGAAGGGCAAAGGATCCGTTTGAATTCCCAGCCATCTTGCATCTTCAGTTTCTGTGTATTTTGCATCTGGGGAAGCTGACAGTCTCTCTAAAAACTTTTTGTTCTCACAGTTAAAACTTGAATCCGTGCCTTCTTTTTCTGGCTCCTACACAATGTTTTGTGCTCAGCTTTCTTTTTCTTTTTCTTTTTCTTTTTCTTTTTCTTTTTCTTTTTCTTTTTCTTTTTCTTTTTCTTTTTCTTTCTTCTTTTTCTTTCTTCTTTTCTCCTTCTTCCTCTTCTTTTGTTGTTGTTGTTGTTGTTGTTGTTGTTGTTGTTGTGGTTTGGTGTTAGTATTGTTGTGTTGTTTATTTTTTTAACTACTGATATGAGATAACCAAACATTTAATGGGATTTTGTTGTGTGACAGTTATTGGGTGTTTGTGTGTGTGTGCGTTGTTTCCTCTGACTGGCTTCAAAATTTAGAAAGCATTTAGAACAAACTATACAATGCCATCTCAGTTCTGCTATTTGAAGGATATTTGCAGCCCCGCCTTCCTTGGAAAATAAGGCATTTTAAAAGAGCGACTTGATACAATAAATCTAATCATAATCATAAATCATTTCAGGATTATGGAGGCTTAGCAGTGTGTTTGAGTGTTAAAAAAAGAGTGAAAATTTTGCTATGACAGCTGACAGGACAAAATTTGACATCTTTGATTTCAAAGTGTAATTCTTAGCTAAGAGTACAGATCCCTTCTATACCTTACATAAACATCCCCTTGAAAGCGAAGAGTTTACAAAATTCCATCACAGCATTTTTTTCTTACCTGGGCACTTCAAGCAATCTGCCTGAACCCTGAAGCTCATATTACTGCATGAACACGCAGGTTAAAATTACGTGATTACTTGGATTAGTGTGGAAGTGACTGAAACAGGTTTTCCACTTTTATAACTCTATCAAAGTCAAAACTAGCATACATTCATGTCTGGGGCTTGGGACTGCTGTGTTGAAGAGTGGAGAATATGATGGCAGTACTGCATCCTCTATCTGTTTACTGGGTTTACCCTACTTGGTAAAAAAAAATAAATAAAAGGGAATAATATATTTTATGGCTGCTTGTAACATAGTAAAGAACTTAACAATCTTCAGTGTTTTCATCTTCTCAGAACATCTACAGAGGTAGAAATTTGAGGCAGGAAACTAAGCTCCACAGAGCGTAAACAGTAGTTCAGTGTCACACACAAAGGCTGTGGGAAAACAATCTTTGTATGAGATCTGCTCAACATCAAACACACACTTGAATCAGACTGTGTTCTCACCCTTCCTTTCAGGTCCAGTCTTACCAGCACTGATGTTTCCTTGCAGCAAAACATTTTTTCTATCTTGAGCTTTATTAACTGATGTTTGATATTCTGAGTGAATCCAGGGCAAAATTCCTGATTTTACAGCAGTAAACAAGGGCATGATCAGTTACAAAGGTGGCAGCAGTGTATTTAAATTCCTAGCACTGCTGGTTCAGTACGTGTCGCTTAGACTGAGCAGTGACACCCACAGCAGATATCTCAGGAAAGAGAGCACTGTCCTTCCCCTGTGATCTTTCTGAAATGAAGAAGCAATTCTTTCAAGTCAGTCTTCTTGAAAGGAATGTGGGGGAAAAAAAAAAAAAAAAAATCACCTAGTCTTCATACTTCAAGGGAGAAATGCTCAGAAATCAGCTTACAATCCATAAGGACAGGCTCCTTCTTTTCAAGTGTTCTCATGCTTCCATATGCCAGATGTGAATTCAGCATTTCTGATGAAATACCAATGAAAAAGATGCGTCTGGGAGTAGAGACATTCAACATTGTTGTAAACTAAGACAAATCTTAGAAAATTAAATGATAACTGAATTAGTTCTGACTAGCTTACTTTCTGATTCCCTGAAAGCCTGTGGATTGCACAATGGCTATTCATCTGCACATAGTTATTTCAAAATGAGGAAAGAAACCCTATTTTACTCTAAAGAC